AGTCTGTAACAAACCTGTTGAACTGAACTTATTTTTAGTAACTCTTGTCTTGCTGCAGTATTTAGTGTCACATTATTTACTGTTTGTGAGTGATTGTGTGGAGAAAAAAGCTGCTCCATTTCAACTCAAATGAATAAATAAGCGATGAAGTGAATACATTATTTATTGTGAACACTTATTAGATTTTCCCTGGAGACATATTTAATGTTTTCATTCGACCTACTGATGCTCCAGAAGTTGGTGGAATAAATGATCTGCAAGTGATGCATCTGGACACGGCTTCAGCAACAAGAGATAAACTTCTATAATTAGTCTGTTTCCATGGAAACACTGTAGAAAATATTTATATGTACTCAGGAAATAAAAAGGAGGAAACCACAGCTTGGAACTTGATCCACAGAAACATGTTTTATTGCTTTTCTGACTGTGCTGATGTCGTGATTAAACCTGAATGAGGTTTTATTAAAATCTGCTGTTTTGTGATGAAGGTTTGGTTTAAAAACTGGATTTATTACATCAAACATCCGTCAGCGGAGCGACGAAGCAGCCGCTCTGTGGAAGTTAATCTGGAGTCAATCTGATTTGTTGTTGTTGATCTGATATTGAGACGAGCTGCTGCTGTGAGACGGTGTTAACGCTGAAACCTCCTGCAGGGCTCTGAGGGAGGAGGCGATGGCTCGGGAGGCCGAGGAGAGGAAGCGCCGCGAGGAGGAGGCTCGCTTCATGGCCGAGCAGCAGCGACTCCGAGACGACGCCCAGCGAGCTCAGGAGGAGAAGGAGGCGCAGCAGAGAGCGAAGGCCGAGCAGGAGGAGGCCGACAGGCTGCAGAGACAGGTGAGACACACCTGTAGGTAGAAATATAACCACCAGACAGGCTGCAGAGACACCTGTAGGTAGAAATATAACAACAGAGAGGCTGCAGAGACACCTGTAGGTAGAAATATAACAACAGAGAGGCTGCAGAGACACCTGTAGATAGAAATATATAACAGAGAGGCTGCAGAGACACCTGTAGATAGAAATATAACCAACAGAGAGGCTGCAGAGACACCTGTAGATAGAAATATAACCAACAGAGAGGCTGCAGAGACACCTGTAG